ATTACTATTGTCAACATTACTATTATCATTAGCCACCCTATTATCATTAGCCACCCTATTATCATTAGCTACCCTGTCATTATCAGCTACCCTATTATCATCAGCTACAACATTTGTTACGTGACCAGCCAGTGCCATATCTTTATTTGCATCTGCCTCATCTCTCAATACCGCCATCACATCGAATCTACTCATCAAACTCACTGGCAAATTGACATTCTGCTCCACACTTCTTCCCTGGTTGTATCTTCCTCGTGCTGGATTCGCAGCAGCCACCACTGAACAGCGTGCATTGAGGGTGGTGTTGATTCCCGCTTTGCTGATTGAAATGCACTGCTGCTCCATCACCTCGTGAATTGCAACTCGATCGGTCTCGTCCATTTTGTCGAACTCATCGACGCAACAGAGGCCACCATCAGCCAGAACGAGGGCGCCTCCTTCGAGAAGCCACTCGCCTGTGACGGTGTCTCTGACTACGGCAGCAGTGAGACCGGCAGCACTCGATGATCGCCCAGTGGTGTAGACACCGCGACCAGAGAGAGCAGCTGCTCGCCTGAGCAGCTGGCTCTTTGCAATTCCCGGGTCTCCTACGACCAGGAGGTTGATGTCACCGCGAATGCGCATTCCATCGGCCATTGATGCACCAGGAGACGAGACCAGAACGAGAAGAAGAAGCTTCTTCAGGTCGACCAGGCCGTAGATTTCCGGGGCGAACGAGTCGACCAGTTTCCTGCTGCTCGTGGCCGCTGGCCGAGCCACTGCGACCGAATGGGCCACCTTCATCCCAAGCACCACCGTCTCGTTCAGCAGCCCCGCTCCCATTCGCCACTGCCCAAAGTGCGGCCGAGGCAGCAGAATTCCGGAGACGTCGACTCGTTCGCCAGGGCGAGTGGTCTCGGCTGACTGGTCGAAGACGTCGACTGAGACGGTGCGGGGGACGGCGCCAGGCGGCACCGCAGTCGTCTCCTCCTGCAGCAGCAGCCGCTGCTGGCGCACGAAGCGGGAGCCACGCGAGACGAGGCAGAGGGCACCGCGAATCCGCATCGATCGGCATCGGATGCTCCTGCACTCGTCCAGCAGGTCGAACGAGTCTGCGTCCTCGATCTGCTGATACGTCTCAGTCCCACACGCCTCGCAAATGTACGTTGCCACCCTGATCGACGGCTTCGTCTGAGAGGAGCGGACCACGATCCCAGGAAACGAGACCACCGTTCCAATTCGACTGCTTCGTAGGCCACGAAGTGGAACGGATTCGACGAAGTCGAAGAGGGCGATGGAGTAGTCGCGGACGAGGAAGCCCAGGGCAGCTGAGACGGGTGAGTCGGGGTGCTTCTCTTTGAATCGGCTGATTCGGTGCTGAGCAAATGGAGAGGGCGAGGTGACGTCGTAGTCGAATCGGATTTCATCGACTACGCCGTAGAGGAGGCGGAGATACGTCGGCGTGTTTCGGGAGACGCGGCCGTGGAGGGACGCGTCGAAGAGGGCGAGGTCGCGCAGGTTGACGTCAATCTGCTTCTGGTTGGTTGCAACGGCACTGAGGTATTTGAAGTCATCGGAGCCAGGCTCCTTGAAAAAGAGCAGGAACCGTTTTAGGGCATCGCGGTCATCTTCGTAGGAGACATCGATGTGGACAGCAACGAGGTCCTTTTGTTGTACGGCTGTTTGTTTTAGTTTATGAGGTATCTGCTGCATTGGGGTGAAAAAATGGAGAGGTAGGTTAAGATAGATTGTATTGTAATTTGTTCGTATTGTAATTTGTTCGTATGATAATTTGTTCGTATGGTAATTTGTTCGTATTGTAATTTGTTCGTATGGTAATTTGTTCGTATGATAATTTGTTTATACGATAATTTGTTTATACGATAATTTGTTCGTATGATAGTTCGCATTGTAATTTGTTCGTATGATAGTTCGCATTGTAATTTGTTTATATGGTCTACACTCTACTTACCCTCTACTTACCTTACTATCTCCTAGAACCCTTCTTTATCATCATTCTTTCTGCTCATTATGATGTTGTAAAACAGTACCACCACTATGTATGCTACAATAAGTGTAAATCCAATAGCACAGTATACCACATTCCTCTTCCTACTATTGTCTTCTACTATTTCTGTACTATCATCGCATAGTGGTATGTTACGAACCTCTTTATCCTCTACTACACTTGAATAGTTCAGTTTATCCAAATTCAACTTCTTCCTAAACACTTCATTGAATCCATTTTGAATCTGCAGGTTCTTGGTGTGNCCCTCTACTTACCTTACTATCTCCTAGAACCCTTCTTTATCATCATTCTTTCTGCTCATTATGATGTTGTAAAACAGTACCACCACTATGTATGCTACAATAAGTGTAAATCCAATAGCACAGTATACCACATTCCTCTTCCTACTATTGTCTTCTACTATTTCTGTACTATCATCGCATAGTGGTATGTTACGAACCTCTTTATCCTCTACTACACTTGAATAGTTCAGTTTATCCAAATTCAACTTCTTCCTAAACACTTCATTGAATCCATTTTGAATCTGCAGGTTCTTGGTGTGTCTTTCTTGCATCCTCTTCATTTCTGCTCGAAGCGCAGCCACCTCTACAGCATAGTTTAACATGAATACGGTTTTGTGATTCACGTTCCACCAGGCCGTGTAGCTTTGAACGTCATCATTGCTACTTCTTAGAAACATAACTATTTCGTAGGGTGTGAAGAGCTTCAGCAACAACTGTTCGACAACCTTTCTTTCTCTACCTATTTTGGGTCTGATGATATCGATCAGTCTATCCAGAAATCTGTTTGTGTTTCCATTATCCATGCAAGTATTCAGTTCCCACCTCTCTAACCTGAGTAATTTCAGTATAGTTCTTTTTATGGTATAGTCTTCTACATTAACAGTGATATTTACAAACTTCTGAAAAACATCAACCTCCATGTCCTTTGTTACTGCAATTAATCCAGCGGCTCGTTCGTGACCGGCGTGTGCAGCCAGAATGTCGTATTCTTCCAGATTCATTCTCTGTCCAGCTACGTTATTTAACCTACTGATTTTAATACTGTTAAATTTGGTAGAGTTGTTCCTTATTTTGATTGAGTGATTCAGGGTTGCACTGTGTTTGATTACGTACTGCACTTTTGCGGCTAGAATTACATTATCGATGTTTCTATTTACCGTTTCATATTCCAGCGTACAGAAAAAATAGAGCAATTTGTAGTCGAATTTGTTGCCAAATAACTGAGTATCATTCTTTTTACCCTCAATAAATTGATACACTCTCATAATGTCATTTTGATCCTGATCAAAATACTCTCTTATATCAAATTCAAAGGCTATTCCGTAGTCATTGAGTATGTTTATGGCGTATCTGTTTGCAAATGAACTCACTAATGCATTTGGGAAGTTGTCTTCAGCAAATTCATCAAACCCAAGTACTCTTCTCTCATCCATCAGTCGTAGGATGGTTCCAGGCGTGGTAGTGCTGATGTATAGGTCGTCTATGCTGTAATCAAGACGGATTTCAAGATTATAGGCACAGTAATGAACTAGTAGAAATACAAATCCAATTAACGTTTTCATATTAGGGGCTCCTTAATAAATTATTGAGTATTACTGTCATATCACTAAAATCGGTTATTTCATCCATTTATATAAAATGCGATCGGACATCATCCACCAGCTGCTGGGCCACTTCCCTTGATGAATTCATCGTAATTGGCTCCAGGCGTAAACTTTTTATCCAAATTGCTCTCATCCACGTACAGGATGTCCCATAGAAATTTAGCGGTGATTCCTTCCAAACTCACCTCATTCACGAGCAGACAGAGACGCTCTCCATTTTCATTCACGAGCAGATCGTCTGCGCTCTTCCCAAACTCCTTCATCCTGAACTGCGTCAGCATCCCACTCGATTGGGAGTCGAACTCGTTTGCACTCAGAGACAGCTCCTCCTCTAAGTCGTACCAAAACTGCTTGAATCCCTGATCAACCATTTGAACGGGATAAAGCTTGTACTCGAAATCATCGATCAGATACACATTTGTGTTACCAAGGAATGTGCACTCGTACGATCTACCAGTCATCAGATTGGAAGATTTGACGAGCTTTTTGCTCGATCCGTGTTTCCCAGGCTTCGATACTGAAAATGTAAGCACCTTGAAGAAGTTGATTCGCTTATCCTTCACCTCTGCAAATTTGTTACCCAATTTCAGTTCTTTACCGTCGGTCACAGTTGTGCGCATTGTGGGGTAAAAATTAGCAAAATTTTAGGTACAGTTTGCCTACGATAGTTAATTATGAAAATATGAATGTTGCCTGATTAAAGGGCGCTGTTTCTGGAAACCAGGTCACTGTATCCCCCTATGAATTCTCCTTCTAAAAATATTTTCGGATACGTCTTGTAGGAGTATACGTCTGTGATAGCACTGTCAAGCTCAGGATACTCGAGGTAGTCGTAGACCTTCGCAGACGGAAGTGCAGCTATTGCCTTGGTGCAAAACGGGCATCTTGGCATCGCTAGAATGAATGTTGGTGTCATCTGCAGCACATTGTGGATGATATCCTTCTCTGACATTTTCATAGGGGGTTTATCTGTTTTGTTTTTAGGCTGGTTCTGTTACACTGGTTTTACACTCTCAAATATTGATTAAGTAGTTATTACCAAAATTAGCCAGTTATTAATTCATTATGTTGGGTGTAGCATTTACTGATTATTCATTATCCATAATTGGGGTTCAAGGTAAACCATTTTTTATATAGTCCCTTTGATAGGTTTGACACTTTTCCTGATATCAATTCAGCTATCCGACACATCAGATATCGAATTTCTGGATCATTTCGTTCTCTTCCTCCATCAGGCGCTCGTAGTTCAAAACAGGCATTTCTGGATAGACCATCTGCTTTTTGATGAACTCTCTGGTGTCGATGATGCGCTTGAGGGCATCATTGATTCTTCTACCCCCATTCTGACTCAGGCTACTTTCATTTTTGATCAAAATGCCATCTTCAACCTTTGAGTTGATTTCTGCCTCTGTGATCAGCCGATGCACCAGGCAGCTCACATCCTTCCCAAATATCCCATTCACGTCTTCCAGTCGAATTCGACTGTACGCATTTGCCACTTTTCTGATTCCCTCTTTCAACGCATTTGCTACAAGTCTCCTTGCTACAAAATACAACTTCATTTTTGATACAAATTCATCAAAGTTGCTATGAAGAATCTCATCCAGTTTCTGGATCTCTCCTCTTTTTACTGTTCCGATCAGATTGTAATACGGTAGCAACTCATCATCGTAGTCGTATTTGATGTCCAACTCCCCCTGTAGCAATTTACATAGAATGCTACATTTGGTGATGTTCAATTCCAGCGACTTCTTCCTGTTCAGAATGTCAGCTTCATCTAAGTTCTGTAGACTCTGCCTATAATTACCTAGAACCAGATGGGCGTAACCAGTGTAAAAATAGAACAGGGCTGCCTCTTCCTTCTCGGCCACTGCCTCTATTTCCCTAGTCATTGTGAAGTTGGATACGACTTCACTGAGTAGCTCACTATTGAAGTTGATGAAGTAGTCAAGAAGACAGTTCTGTAGAACCAAAATGCTACACAAATTGCCAAATTCTCTGTTTGTTGCTAGCAGTGTATACAACTCCCCTAGTTTCAGCTTTCCAGTCTCCTTGCTTGCCCAATAGTAGTATCGAATGCATTTGCTGTTGAAATAGTCGTATTCTCTCTCTGAGCCTGACAAGTTGATTTTGCTTAGGAATTCGTAGATTTTGTCAAATTCCTTAGCACTACAGAGCAAGCTTAAATAGAGTGGAGTTAATTCATGAGCCCTATGAACGTGGATTTTCAGCTGTTCGAAGACTTCTTCTGTAGTAGGCGCAGTTCTCATAAAGGTAGTGAAGCCTATTTTGTACAACTTAATGAAGTCTACTTCCTCATTCTTTTCCAGTTTGTTTATTAGCGTGTTGTAGTCTGTGATAGTTTGCATAAGGGTGGAAATAAACAAATAAAATATTCAGGCATATTGATAAGAGTGTTTAACGAGCGAGGATGGTGTTGATTTGATGTAGGATATCCTTTATGATGGCTGTTTCATCATGTTGCTGATTAATACACTGCATCATGTTCAATGATGAGTGCATTGGATCAAATCCATTGATACTGCAATATTGTAGAAAGTTGAATGAGTAAACCTGGTAGAATATTGTTGTGTAGGAGATCAGTCTCAATTGGAATACTATTTCATCAGTAAACTTCTTAAGGATCTCTTTCAAGACTGTTATCTGTTCGGAAGTGAGGCTGTATGTTTCCATTACGTATATAATATACCTTGCTTTTGGTGTCAGGTTTCTTTCTCTGTTATGGAGAAGTGTGCATAATGAAATGAATTCATCCTTGGATTTGTTCAATGCGTACCAGGTTGGTTTACAGTGATTCAAATTGTAGGATACGCATTGATGAAATACTCCGATGTATTCAGGTAGTGCTGCGGCAAAGCACTTCATGATAAAGTATCCAACTAATGAAAATTCAGTTATCATATTCAGGTATAAAATATTTATTCAATTTCAACCATCTCGCAAACTGTACCTATTTTATTCGCCAATTCGTTGATTTTATTCTCGTATTCTGCATATTTGTTTTTCAATTTCTCCCTTTTCTGATCATCTTTTATTTCCTCAATATAATGTTTGAAGCGTCTCAATAGCTCCAGATTTATTGCAAATTGATCAATGTGAAATCTGTTTACTTCCACATCCTCATTTGACAACAAACTATCGATTTTATTCATTCTCGTGTTTATTATGTAGTAAAAATACCAGTCTTTGTTTCCTGTCTGATTTTCTGGATTGCTTCTGTGTCTCTTGTAGTAGTCTATTTTGATTTTAAGATGGTTGTTTAAGTCGGTTATGTGTTCATCTTCATTATTTGCAGCTGTAATAAGAAATTCTAATAAAAACATTAACATATTCAGGTATAAAATATTCAATGCTCTTTTAACTTAATAAGTTGCCAATGTTGAGTAAACCATTAAGTTCTTTGCTATACACAGACAGTGTTTTCAGGTCTTCTTCCAAATTTCTAAACATTTCCTCAGTATTCTGAATGTAACCCATGATTTCATAAGGTATTTCAATATCTGATCCATCATCTTTCGTTATTTGCTGTATTTCAGTACAATAGTGATCTGTTATCAGTTTAAAATGTCCGATGTCATACAGGAACTTTCTACAAGCACTGATTTTTTTACTTGCTGTTTTCAGTTCATTAATCAAATCTACCTTTTCATTTTCGAAAGTTTCCTTGTCTGTTACACCACTATCGTATTTGTCCTTGATATATGTCATGTCATTTTTGTATTTAGTAATATACCATTCAACTTCATACACCTTGCACTTCACTTTCCTTCTTTGGATATCCTCGTACATATTTTTGATTTCATTTTCCTGGTCATCTGGAGTCATTTCCTGAAACCCATTCAATTTTTTGGCCTGTTTTTTGGTCATGTGTTGGGTTGCCTCCTTGTCGAGCTTGAATTTAGTGCTTATTCCATCTAATGTCGCATTGTAGAACATGCTGCTCAAGCTTTCAGCAGATAATGCACAGATTACAAACGAGATCAGCAACATAAGGTATAAAAATGTTTGATTTTTATTTAAATTTGTCGGAATTAGTAAAACAATATCAATTATAAATATTTTAATGTACAATTGTCATACAGATTTCTAATCAAATTCTCATATTTTGCAAAAAACACAGTGATGATTTCCTTTTCCTTAAACAACATTTCATCCCAGTACTGGTTTATTTCAATCCATATACCTATTTCATTTAAACTACGATTCTCGATGGCTTTGTCTCCCTTAGATAAGCCATTGCTTCTATTCGCACATGGGCAATCATAATTGCCAACAATTTCACATCAATCAAATTACAACCCAATTTAACCAGACAGTCCACCATTGGTTGTTTTATCTGGTTAATACATCGAATCACAGTTGTTTCATACTTCTCCATTGTCACACGGGTTTTCATTTCGGACAATCTTTCAGCAATAATTTTCAGGTACTTAATCCTGGCATCAAAATCATCCGTTGATACATCATTCATCATTATTTTGATTCCTAGACGGTGTATTGCATCCTTCCTATCTTGAAATGTCAAGGTTTCATTGAATGTTTTCAGTTGATCAAAATTCTGCTGCTTTTTCGTTTCCAATTCTTCTGATAACGTTATTTTGGTGTACTCTATCACCTTTTCCACTTTATGTTTCAATCTACCCATCTTATTGCTAATTTAGCAGGATTTGCTACCATCAATAACGGGTTACTGGTTGTTTGAAATGATGCTGTAACAAATACCAGATAAGAAAACATGGGTAAAATAATATCAAATAGTCAATATTAGTCAAATGTGTCTAACGTCTTAAAGGAAAACTTTGTGAGGAAATGTTTGTAGGATACCTGAATTGATACCAGGAAAAGTGTCAAACCTGTCAAAAGGATTATCTGATTACCTTGAACTCCAAATTGTGGACAGCGAATCACCAGTAAATGCTACACCCAACAAGGTTGATCAATGGTATATTTAATAGGCATGTATAAGAAAGAAACGGGAAATTTTATCCAATGTATGTGTCTACATAACCATCATATAAATCAGAAGAATGATGTAGGTACATGATCAGAAAGATTGAATAAAGTCTTATCTTAATTACCCAGTTAACTCAGTGTCATTTTGTTATTCCATTGGGAATAATTGTATCAGTTGCCTATATTTCTTCTGCAACAGTTCCAAGTTTTTAGTCTGTTTAACATGATCCTCTTCGCATTCCTTTCCAACATCATAATACTTCTGTATCCTACCTATTTTCACACTTGCTTCATCCAAATCATCAATCGTAGACATCACATTTTCTATTACCATATCACTAACGCTGAACAAATCAGACTTAGCGTATGTCAATCCAGCAAATTCTCTGATCATATGATAAGTTTGTTTACACTGATTCATTAAAATTTGAATCAAATTGTAATAGAATGTTTGCGATGATATGTAACACATTGCATACTCATTTTTTTGTTGTATTACTTCAGTCATCAAATCATTAAGTGTTTGATCAACCATATCGTAGGTTGTCGTACAACTGTTGATTTTATTGTTAAGATTCAATAAGAACGTTTCTTGCTCATAAAATGACTTGTTATCAATCAAATTCAGGATTATAGCATGGTTTCTATCAGAAACCTTAATGGCAGTACGTGCACAATTTGTCGTATAGTTAGTAAGTTGAACAACTACCTCTGCCAGTGACAATGCATCCAGTTGTTTATCACTAGTGCTACTGATTCTACAGACATACAGCAACATCAAATACAATTGACTAAACATGGGTTGTGATATTACAGTTAAATTTATACGAAGTATTGAATAATTAATATACTTTGCTGAAGTATTATTTTATTAATTCACATCATTGCGTGATCTACAAATATTTTATTATGGTCGTTGTTGGATAACTGACTGATATCAGTAAGGTGCCAGGTATATCAAAGGGTTTGGATAAGAAATGCGTTTTCTTGAATCCTAATCATGATCAATGTCCTCAAACAAGTCCACATAAAATATCACAATAATGATCAATGATCTCATTCACAACTTAATGTTCAGGAAAATACGCAAATGCAGGTTACCTCAATAAATGATTATAGTTAAGAAAGACAGAGTTAAGAAAATTGACTTTAAAGATCTTGAAAAATGCCATGGTGTCTAATATTTATCAATCCCGACATTACCTAAGATATGAGCTTCAACAGAAGCACCCAATAATTCCATTATCAATACTTTTGCATGTCACCAAACCTGATAGAAATGACTAGATGTATTTTATCGAATACAGTAGCTATTGTTGCTATGCATTTCTATTTACTTCTATATATTTGGGATCACTTGTTGTTTACAGTTTCATCATTCTATTGGCTGTTTATCAATAAAAACATAAATATTGTTTACCCATGTCAACATTGTTACATTACGTCTTAACCTGGCTTGCTGTGCCACAGAAAATGATTGCTAAGCTCCTGTGCTACCTAAACCATCACATCAACTCCACTGCTATTTCAGTAGTCTTCTGCACCATTCTACTATGCATTGGTATCCATTCTTTGCTGATAAAAAAGCCAGAGAGAAAGAAAGTGTTTTTTGTGGGAAGGAGGGAATCAGGGAAGACCACGGCCCTGCTTCAGATTCTACTGAAGAAAAAAGACAGGCGAATCAGGGCAGTGAAGAGGACGACACCGACGCTGATTCAGCACAGCACCGTCATCAACGACCTTGAGATCGTCGAGGTCGAACAGAGCGACGAGAAAGACGTTTTGAAGAAGTTTTCGATAAATGGCAGGGATAAGTTCATCTTCTTCCTGCGAGATGACGATGAGACGTATCCACAGCTACTGGGCAACTTCGATATTCATTTTGTGATGTGGAAGAAGGTGAAACACGAGCCACGAAATGACATTTTGTACCTGAATGAGGACGCAGTTGCTCTCATCGATTTGCTCTATAAGAATTGCTGAAACGGTGCGCTTATTTGTTTATTTCTAGCATTTCACCAAACATGGCGTAGAATTGGATTCTACTGCTGTTTCCTTGACTCATTCTGTGTTGATAGGCGCCTATGATTCTTAAAAACTCATAATTGTCGCTGTCTTTGGCTATTGAAAAGAGTCCATTCATTATTTCAGAATAGTCGTATTTGTGAGAGAAGAGCTCCTCTGCATTTGCAATGAGCTCATTCGTCTCCTTCCTAGTGATGATGTCGACTATTCTTAGTAGCTTCTTCCTGTTTGGCACACCATTTATGCTATAAAGAAAGTTGTCATCGATTCTGAAGGCATCACTGCTGACGCCCAGAACACCTTGCAGAATGTTCAGACAGCTCCTGAAGTCTCCCCGACTCAGTTCAACCAATGCCTCCTTCCCAGACTGCGTCAGATGAATATTCTCATTCTGACAAATTTGATCAAGTAGGGAATCAAATTTGGCTATTCCAATTCGGTCAAACTTCAAAATAGCCATCCTGGACTGAATTGCTTCAATCATTTTTGACACTTCGTTGCAAATCAAGATGAATTTGGTACTTTTGGTCTCAATGATGCGCCTGAGTGCCTGTTGTGCCGCAGTAGTCAGATTGTCGCATTCATCGAGTATCACTAATTTAGAGTCACATGCCACCTGCGTGAATCCCTTAATTCTGTTTCGTACCACATCAATTCCCCTCTCATCACTTGCATTCAATTCCAATACTCCTTCATACTTCTTGCTCAATATTTTTGCAATGGTTGTCTTCCCAGTCCCAGGTGGCCCACAAAGCAGAATATGTGGATGATCATCCCGTAGATTACGTAGTATCTTCACAACTGGTTCATTTCCAATTACATCCTCCAATTTAGCTGGCCTGTATTTTTCAGTCAGAAGCAGTGCCATGGGATCAAAATGTTTTCAATTCTTCTTTTCACTAAGTTGCTTCCCACAACCAATAACTGGGCATGTTTTACTACTTCTTCTTATTTCATCCATAATGGCCTTTCTTTCAAATCTATGGCCACAAGTAGAAGCATATTCGTCTTCTATCTCAGCCTGAGTCAAAGGACAGCGTCCACTTCTTTTGAACTCTTCCACGTCCTCAGTCTCGTTTCTCTTTACCACAACCTTAATTCTACTAGGATTAAGCAATTTATCTGGATTTATACAGGCCTCAATCTGCTGCAGAATGTGCATTTCAATAGTGTCATCTACCTTCATATCGAAGTTTTTAATAAGTTCCTGTATTCTCATCATGATATCCTTCCTCTCTTTCATCACATCCAAAAAGACGCTGTTCCTCATTTTGTGGGCCCATAAATTATGTCGAAGGCAATCAGAAGAATCACTGGCAACACAACAGATATCAACTACGGTACACACACGTTTTCAGCTCCAAATACACTATGTAGACGTGTCTACGATGGCTTCAATATCTGTAGCAAGTGCCTGTGGACATTTGTGACTGAAAAATCATTAAAAATCCACAATGGATGTTGTAAAGGGGGAAACCTGAAAATATTCTACGAATGCGAGTTTAAGGAAGGAAAACATGGGAAAATTGGATTCACCAGAATAAACAGGCTGAGTAACAAACAGACATTGGCTGCACTTGGAGACGCATTTATAAGACAGAAGACTGTCTACTGTGAGCTGAATCTCTATGAATTCTACGCAGCAGTGGACTTGGAATCGCATGAAATTATGGGATATTTTTCAAGGCACAGCCAGTTGGAGAATTCACTTAGTTGCCTAGTTGTTTTCCCACCGTATCAAGGATGCGGAATAGGGACACTTTTGATTGATTTATCGCAGCAGAAGGCTATTACAAGGAGCAATGGAATCGAATACTCAGATCCAAATAAGATATATGTTCCACTTGGTCCAGAAAGGCCACTTTCAGATACAGCCTATCTCTGCTACAAGAATTACTGGGCTGTCAAGACAGCTGGAGCCAGAACAGTACAAGAAGTGGCTGAAAAGGAGAACATTGGGCTGGAAGATGCTGTAGTTGGATTGGAGGCGAATGGATTCGACTTCAATGAATGGCGCATAAAGAAGAAAATGCCTAGGAGAAAATTGAAGAGGGAACTTCCTGATAAATTAGTCAGGTGATTTAACTGTTTTATGCAGTGTAACATCCCTTTTCGTCAGCCACCTTTTCCAATTTCATTGCTTTAGCCAATTTCTGGTAGATTTCGTATCTTTTTTTGCTCTTATCAATATTGTTGTTGTTCTTGCATTCCAGTTCTCCATTAATGGCCTTGGTGCTGTATCCAAAGTGGTCTGGTCCCACTCCTTCCTTTCCTTCGACATTTGTCTTCCAGAACCACTCTGATACCCCGTACGCCTTCTCAGTGACCTTGGCAACCTGGTCTGGATCATCAAACAGTGATGTATTCTGATACAATTTCTGGGATGCTGCCTTGTAGTTATCAGGCCAACTCAGCTGAATGAATCCTCTACCATAGTACTGCTTTCCTGGTGCACCCTGATCTGATCCATATTTACCCGCACATTTATCACCAGCACAATCTATTTCTTCCACAAATTGGAATCCTCCACTTTCATGGGCACATTGTGCTATGAATTGACATGCCATTGCCTTATCCTGAAACCCCTTGTTTACTCCATCTACCATTGCATCCAAATACTCATCTTTTGGCTGGAATCCAGACTCCTTCATTGCTCCACTTAGTGTCTCTTTATCTATGATTGATCCACCTGATGATCCCTTTTTATCATCTGATTTCTTATCATCAGGTTGTTTTGGCTGATTTGATGGTGATGAAGATGCTGGTTGTGATGATGGTGATGAAGATGGTTTGGCACCACCTGCTGAACTAGATTGTTGAGGAGAGGATGGTGCATTTCCAGCTGAAGTTGGTTGAGGAGAAGGTGAACTAGATGGTGATGGTGATGGCGATGGTGATGGCGAAGCAGATGGCGATGGCGATGGTGAAGCAGATGGTGATGGTGATGGTGAGCTGCCTGATGAAGAAGGAGAGCTACCAGGGCTACCTGAGCCACTACTTGCTCCACTTGGACTACTTGGACTACTTGATGCTCCTGGTGCTCCTGGACTGCTTGATGCTGCTCCCTTGGTATTTGGTTTTTCTGGTGATGCTGTCTGTGGTGCCTGTCCTGGACCAGTGTATTCCAATTTCAATTCTTTTGGTCCAACTTTCTCAGTGACCGTCTTTGTCATTGTAACTGCCCGTGCCTTATTGATCAAATCAGATAATGTACTGATAAGCTTATCAGTATCACCAATTGTTTTGGATGGTTCCATCTGACTCTTAGTTGAATTGCGTCCATTTTGTTGCTTGTTTTGTAATGAATCTGTTCTATAGACTGTGACTGTTTTGGTCTTTTTTGATTCCTTAGGCTTCTTGCTCTTTTTTGGTTTTTGGGCTGATTTCTTGGGAGATTTCGTATCTGATTCCTCCTGCTTCTTTCTAGGTGGCTTTTTGGCTGATTTGTTCTTTGATTTCTTAGGGCTTTTCTTTTTGCTCTTTTTATGCTGATTCTTGCTTGTAAAATCGTCTAAGTTGCTGATATTCTTGTTATTCTTCCAATTGTCTTCAAGTAAAGCAAGGTCATCCTCCAAACTCATTGATTCACTGATGGAATCATCATCTGACTGACCACAGCTTACTTTACCACCAATAAATTCACACATTGTTCCAGCAGGACATGGCATCGTGATCCACTGGCCGCTTTTGTCACACATTTTCATTTCATTACCGGTGCACTCGCTGGATCCAGCAGAACACACGGATTTCGATAGTGTTCCTGGTATTAGCAGAAATAGATTCATATCCATGGACCTGAGATATGTTTTAAAAACACTGTTTCAAGTATACAACAAAAGCAAAATCTATAGGTTGTTTTGGATATTGATCAAATGGTTAATATATGATAAATGTATGTAACATTGGTATTGTGAAAGATACAGAGAGGATGTAGAAGTGGATGGTGTCAGGAAAGAGTAATGATGAAATATGATCAATAATGTATGATATTTCTGTCAGGATATCACGTAATGACATGTAGATAAAATATACAAGTATATGATGGAGTGGTTGAATAATAAATGGGATTTTGAAATTTATTGGTATTTTTATGGGATAATATTGAAAAATAAGTATGAACACATCAATACAGTATAAGAAAACCTATGACACTAGATAACTGCCTCTTTTAAATGCTATTCGTTGGTTTATGACAGGCTACCACATAAAAAGATAATCTTTGTGTTAAAAACAAGGGTGTTCAAACAGGAAAAACAGGAATAATTATTTAGTTCACCCTTTTTAATTTTATTTTTAATTCCCCCTATGTTGTTAGTTTATATCATTCTAGTATTGACAAAAGCGTATAAGATTGTCACTAAGCCTACACTTGACAGTCCATGTTTTCTACATGGTTGTTTTTGGCATAATAACATTGAAATTGATCTATCAATCAAAAGAATGCTATTTACGAATGATGCGATTGAATTGGATATTGTACAATCGCAGGAGACCATAGACCTCAGGCCATATGAAAATGCTTCAAATAATACAGAATTGGTAGCTTGCAAAGAATGCATTGAATCCTTTAGACTTATTTCAGAATGGTACTTCAGCAGCTATAATTCATTAGAACTG